AATTTTTAGATTTTCAAAGCATAACGGGAACTTTTTATTGCAAGTGTCGGCGTTTTTAACTTCTAAAGGTCGAAATCTGCAAGACAATGTCTTTGGTTAAATTTCGAAAATTGTCCAAAAACAATCGAAAATTTCAAAATGGGGTGTATTGAAAAAATGAGTTTTTGAAAAAGTTGCCTAAAAAATCTCAAACAATTCTGAAATATATATTTTGACATGACAATTGGAAATATGTAGCGTGTTTACGATACTGGAACGAGATTTTAGAAATATCCGATGTGAAATTTAATTTTTTTTAATGAGCTACTAAGTTTAACTTTTTACTACAGAGTTCTATCCTAGCAGATACTAGCCCCACCCACCGACGCTGTTCTCATTCTAACGATTTTATTTCTGTTGAATATAATATAATTCCAAACAAGCATTAAAAAAGTAAAGGGAAAAATAGGACAACTTATAAATAAAAAGTTTAAGGAAGTACTAGAAAAGAATCAAGGTTATATTTTGTTACCAAAGGTAGCTAAAATACATAATGGAGATTCTAGTAGTGAGGTGAACATAGAACCAGATGTAATTAGCGCTCTTAAGTATGCACCCATTACATCAGTGGATGTAGAGAGAAGTTTTTCTACCTATAAACAATTTTTTTCAGATAGGCGACGTATTTTTTTAATTGAAAACATTGTAAAACCTATAGTTGCAAGTTATAACATTAATGCTGTGGCGACACAATAATAAGTAGTAGTAAACGAAGAAAGATAAGCGGCCTCGTGGTCTAGTGGTCAGGATACCTGCCCGGCACGCGGGAGGCGTGGGGTTCGATTCCCACCGAGGCAGAGCAACATTTTTCTTCGCTTACCTACAATACAGATATTTACGTATTTTTTGAATGTATCATTGTACTCGTTTTTTTAATAAATATTAGTTTTTTAGTTGTTTTTTTTTTTTGTAAAATAAAGTTTTGAAAATATGGCACAATATTGTTAGACTTATGGATAAACTACCAACTTATTGTATGCTCAATAAAAAAAAGTATAAAATGTGTGCATATTTTTACAAAAATTTTGCATATTTTCGTAAAATTAAAACATTTTTTCTTATGTTTTATGCATATAAATGCACATATTTTTCGGCCAAATTTCGTGCATAAATAGTATAATTAGTACTTGCTAAGGTAAGACTGATTTTGCCAAATGACATACATTTTTAAAAAATTAACAGCGGGTGGGCGGGACTAGTACTTGGTAAGATAAGACTGATGTTGCCAAATAACATATCCTCTAAGAAAATGGAGAGTGGGTGGGCGGGGCTAGTACTTGCTAAGATAAGACTGATTTTGGCAAATAACAAATCCTATAAGAAAATAAAGGGCGGGTGGGTGGGGCTAGTAATTACCAAGATAAGACTGATTTTGACAAATGACCTGTTGTCTAAAAAAATAAGGGCGAGTGGACACGGCTAGTATTTGCTAAGATAAGACTGTTTTTGTCAAATAACATACTCTGTAAGAAAATAAGCGGCTTAAACCTAATTCTCCACCCTAGCTTGGATGGAAGTTGATAATAATATGTGTTTGTTGTAGTAATTCTTACAAAGTACCCATGCCATTTCAGTCGGGTTATATTGACAATGGTATGAGGATAATCTAAGAAATTCATGGCCACTCTGTCTTAAAGTCTCGTCTATCAAATAACGTTTTTGTGTTGTAGCAGGCTATTACGTGTTTATGATTTTTTCGGAACTCCTTCTTCCAGATTTTTCCCTGACTCAGGGCAGGCGTCAAATGTGTGAAAAGTATTATTATTTTTTGAGTTTGCCAGTATATTTTTCCATTGTGACCCGTCAAAATATCTCGCGACAAAATAGCAAAATGTATAAAATAAAGCCAAAAGCTAAGTCCCACCCTTCCGTGTCGAACTCAATCATGATGAAATTTTTCATTCGTTGCCAGAGGAGTGTAATTGCAAAATCCATATTTCCCTACAAAAATTTACCACTTTAAACATGTTTTAAATTCATATTAAGAAAACATAACTAGGTATATTAAAAAAAAGACAAAATATATTCCCCGCCCACCCGCCCTATCTCAATTGTAATTATTCTTTTATTCATCGTGAGCCAAGAGGGTGGAGCTTAAAATTCTTATTTTTCTACAAGAAACTATCATGTAAAATATGTTTTTGAGTGTCGTGTTGTTTAAAGAATATTTACATATATGATTTTGCATATATTTTACTTGATAATTTCTTATAGAGGTATAAGAATTCTAAACTCCACGCTCTTGACTCACAATGAATAAAAAAATCATTACAATTGAGACAGGGCGGGTGGGCGGGGCATATATTTTGCCTTTCTCTTAATATATGTAGTCCTCTTTTCACAACAAAAAACTTAAAGCAAATTTGAAACAGAAAATATGGACGTGATGAATTTTTCATTCGTTGCCAAACCGAGGGGCGGAGTATAATGGCAAAATCCGTATATCCCTATAAAAATTTACCATTTTAAACATGTTTTAAAGCTCATGTTATGACAAAATAACTAAGTATATTAAAAAAAAGGTGTAATTAATTCCCACAATTGTTTTTCCGAAGTGTTGATTTCAAATTTTCATCTTTAGTGACGACATTTTTCTCTGCAATTGCGCGAAACAAATATTTAAAAACTTTAAAAGTCACAGAAAATATGTTCACTATTCTCATCATTAACTCTTCACGTTTGAGTTAGAGACTATCTTTTTTCACAGCGGCTTTTTATTTAAATTTTTTGTTGTAACAATAATACGATGAATGATTGAGTTTATCCAACGTGAAGAAAAATTTCACGGCCCACTTTTGTTTAAAAGCGTGCTGGACGGTTTAAATCTACTATTATCTACTCTACCAAATGGAATTACCCTAGGTCAAACTTTTTCTCTTTCTATCTTATGCACTTTGTGTAAGACAAAAAAAATCACCAAATTTTGAGTAGGTCGAAGAGTCTTATGTCAAATTTTGAAATTTGTCATTTGTCCCAGTCGAAAACGAAGCGATTTAACGACAAAGCAAAACAAATAATTTTAAACGTGTTAGATTAGCTTGATAGAAACCACGATGTTTTGGAATTTAAGAAAAAAAGAAGACAGAACTGGCCGCAGAAATGTTGAACATTTCTACAGGCTACAAAAAAGTCCAAGTTTAAGTGACTTTGAATACAAGAAAAATATGTCTTCTAGAATTAGTCACATAAAGACAAAAGTGAATCGTGTAGATTTAATGTCAATCCGAGAGATTATCTATAAAATTGTTGTTTCTAAAGAATACATTACTGTTAAGTTGTTGCACGATCGAGTAATGGAAGAGATTCCCGATTTTAACGTTGGTCCTAGATCGTTAATCAAATGGATAAGAAAAATTGGTTTCAAATTTAAGAAAAATAGTAACATATTATTTTTGATGGAATGGCCTTGAGTTAAATTAAAAAGAACAAAATTTTTACGTGAATACCACCCACACAAAGAAAAAAATGTATATGAACCTCTTTTTCTTGATGAAACGTGGGATCTAGTAAGGGTATCATATTGTGGTTCACGCTGGAAATAAAAACAGGTTTTATTGAAGGAGACTATCATATTAACATGAACCACGAAAATTCTGTAAAATGGTTCAAAGAATAGTTGATACCAAGTTTGTGGAAATCTTCTCTTATCGTGGTAGATATCGCAAGTTATCATAGTAGACTTGAGGTATCAATTTAGTCTTCATAGGTATTCATATGTTGTTATAAAACTTTACTATTTGTAGGAAGATATTTCTCGAAAAAGTTGAACAAAGACAAAAACGGCAGTATATTTAAATGAAGATGGGATTGATTATCCACTCAAGGCCGCGAAAGACCAAATCTGGAGAATATTGGTTAACAAACAAACCCAGAAAACGTTATCATTTAGAATTATACGGCCAACATCATGGACATTGGGTATTGAGGCTGCCACCTTACCACTGTCATTTCAACACTATTGAAATGGCATGGTCGGAAGTTAAATGAAATCATGATAAGATCATTCCAAGAACTAGTTCTTCCTCTAATGATCTTTGTGCAACTTGGCAAAATGTGATTGATCAAGTTCCGGCTGTGCATTGGAACAATTACGTTAAACATACTGATAAAGTAATAAATTGTGCTTGGGAAAATGAAATTTTTTTAGATATTTCAGAAGAGAATGAAATTATTATTAATGTTAATAATTCGGACGATAGTGAGAGTGGAAATGAGGATGATAACAGTAGCCTTGAAGATTTAGCTGTCGATATGTTATAACTTGAAACTTTTTCTTAATAAAGTTTCCGTTTTCCGTTTTTTAATGAAGTTAAATTAATTAAGTAATTAAATCCAGACCAGTTTATTAAAAGGAAAAGTCTAAATTTACCACTTTTTAGTTGATGGGTTTAACATAATAGTAGAATATAATAGTTTTTGATGGTGTGATTTATCCATAGCAACATATTCGTAACAGTTTTCCGCAGTTAATTCCGCAAAAAGATTTATTTGTATAACGTAAGCGCAAAATTTCTAAGCAGACATAAAAAAGCAAGTTCTTCAAGAAATTTGTGATTTACTGAAAAATTTATATTTTAAAATCATGTTAATTAGGAAAAAACTACATTTCCGAATGTTAAGTAGCTTAAATCAATTACGCGGAGAACGGTGAATAAGACCTCAAGCGTCATTCACAAAAAGTTTTGCCGATGTTTTGGTCTTGAAAATTAAATGTTCAATTAGTTGCATTTACCGCAACTTTCACTTTTATTTTCGGAAGATCATCCTACGTATGCGGTTACCAAACTCGCCTACCGTTTGCTCTACACAAACTTATGATTTTTTGTGGCAAAATCCCTTAAACAGTAAGCAAAAACTTGTAGTTGTAACAAAAATAATTGGAACAATGTGTTTGAATAACGTATTAGTAACACGTATTAGTTAGTACGAAACCACCCCACGTTCATCCCTGCTGAACCCACCTTTAACGGCACGTCCTCGTAAACCCTCAAAATTTACGTAATTTTTTACGATCCATGTTGCTCACGATTTTTATTCGCCTAAACGTCTAAATCTCGTTTGGCGCGAAAGATTTAGGGGTGTTAAGGCCGTTAAGGGAACGAAAAAATGATGACTTACAATTCACCGAACAACAAATCAAGCGCACGCACACACACCACAACACCTCGTTCCACACTGCCGTCTTCAGAGCTGTTTTCAGCTCGTCTCGATAAAATAGCCAAGGTCAACATTGACACATTCCCAATTCAGCACTCCGGAGGGCAGGTCCCTATTATTCCCCCGGAGCCGCCTCCGGGATCGATTCCCGATTAATCCGAGCCTGGATAAGTCACGTAACCATTAGCATAAGTGCGTTTGCCCCGTGGAAAACATTAACTCCGGGTCGTATGCGTGTGCTCCCGGAACCGGAAATACACGTTCCGCGACACGTAGAAAAAGAGGACATAACAGTAAAAGGGGTTCGGATGAAATCCGATGATTTGATTATATCGGCCCGAACTGGGGTCGCATCGATGTTAAAACAATAAAATAGCGCTGTTACGGCTGGTTGCATGCGCTTTGAGGAGGTCTCGGCCGGGCAGGTACGGAAAATCCGAACTGCAGCAAATGCATGGTAATGGGATGAAGGAAAGCGGTGTGCTCGAGGGTACTTGGGTAAATCAGGAGCTTGGTTATGCATCAATAACTTTGGTATCTATTTACTAGTTGTGGTAACTTATCAAACAGTGGCTCGTTCCAGGTAGGTTTTTTAATCCGTGCTTCCGCTCAAAATACGAGATAATTCATGAGTAATAATGGAGTTAACCAAGCCGAAGATGCAACCCAAAATATGTATATCTTCAGAGGTTCAGAACTATTTTCCGCATAGAAGAGCACTAGCTGATAAAATTTTCAACACTGGAAATTTGTTTGAAAGAAAATTGGACACCTTTTAAAAAAAATTGGTCGAAGGTTATTTCGACAGAACTTTGTCCCTGAAGTGCAGCCAACAAATCGCGTTTCTTTGAAAAATTATAAAGATTTTTTGCGATTTTTCTTTTCGACTTGAATTGTTTTCAATTCTTCAATTTTAAATTTTTTTTTGTTCAGTCAATCAATTAAAACTTTATTGGTGTTAAAAATTTCCAAGTCCAAGTCAAATAGAACAAATCAAATCAGTAAACTATTAAAATTTCTATACCGATGGTAATCCTCAAAACTATAAAAACAATTCACGATAAGAAAAGTTTTGAGTTTTTTTGTTTTTAAAAAATTAATAGGCTTATTACGAAACTCTGTGGTTAAAACATTAAAAACGATTTGAATTAGAAACTAAATTTTCTTTGTTTCTGTACAAATGAATCTCAGTGAACTTTGAATATTATATTATCTTTAAGATGTACTAAACAATGTAGGATGAACTTGTTCCTCCAGTTTTTTGATTTGCAAGTTTTCGAGTTTACAAGTCCAAATTTTTCGTTTCTTCAATTTTCCAACTTTTAAATTTTTCGATTTTTAATTTTGAAATTTGTCGATTAGTTTCTCGAGTGTTCAATATTTAATTTTTGAATTTTTCCATTCGGGGTTTTTGGTTTCGGTTTTTGATTTTCTTAATTTTTTCAATTATAATTTTTTCAATTTTTGAATTTTTCCATTTGTGATTTCTCGAGATTTCGATTTTCAATTTTTTTTTCGATTCTTTAATTTTTTATTTTTAGAAATTTTCATTCTAAGAAATTTTTTGATTTTTCAATGTTCCGATTTTGTAATTTTCGATTTGCAACTTTTCAATTTTTCATTTTTTTTTTCTTCAGTTTTAAGACATCCAAGTTTAGAATTTTCTTTTTAAATTTTGCAATTTTTAGATTTGCAGTTTCACGAGCTTTCAATTTTTCGATTTGCAATTTTTCGTTTCGGTTTTTTTTCCATATTTTTTCGACTTTTCGTATTTTCAATTTTTGGATTTTTTTATTTTTCGACTTGCGGTTTTTCCGTTTTAAATTTTGCGATTTCAACTATTAGATTTTTTAGTTTTTCGTTTTCTCAATTTTAGACTGCACTGTCATGATTTTTCTAGTTTTCATTTTAAATATAAAATAATAAAACGCCTTTCGATTTTACAATTTGAGAATTTTTCCAGTTTTCAGTTATTGGTTTTTGAAACTTTTTCATTTATTCGACTTCTCCATTTTTCGATTTTTAATTTTTCAGTTTTTCGATTCTTCAATTTTTCATTTCTTCAAATTTTCGAATAGCGGTTTTTCGTTTTGATATTTATTTCCTTTATTTTTACAATTTGTCGATTTTTCAATGTCCGATTTTGTAATTTTTTGTTTTTTTAATTTCAATTTTTTCATTTCTTCATTTCTTCAATTTTTCGATTTTCAATTTCTCAGTTTTTGTATTTTCCAACTTGTGGATGTTTCAATTTTTAGATTTTGTAGTTTTTCGAATTGTTAGTCACGAATTTTCAATTTTTTCCATGTCTTCAATTTTTCGGTTTTCGACTTTTCGAATTTTGGAATATTCAATTTTTGGTTTTTTAATTTTAATTTTTAGTTCTCTAGTTTTCATTTTAAATATGTACTAATAATTATAATTTTTAATGTCTTCACTTTTTCAAACTTACTACCTTGGAATTTTTCCATTTTTCAATTATTAAATTTTAAAACTTTTTCATTTACTCGATTTCTCAATTTTTCGATTTTTCGACATTTCGGGTCAAACATTGAAAAATTAAAAACCAAAAAAACAAACAAGTGTAAAATAAAAACTTTGAAAAATCAAAAAATTCGAAATCAAGGACTGGAAAGTGTGAAGATACGAACAATTGAAAAACTTAAAAATGGAAAAAACGAAATATGTATTGTAGAAAATGATGATAATTTCAAAAATTGGAAAATCGAGGAATTGAAAAATTCAAAGATTCAAATTTGAAAATTTGAATAAAGGATAACTTATAAAATCAAAATTAATAGAAAAAATACAAAGAAATGAAATCACGAAACATTGTGATAAAAAAAAAACAGAATGAAAATTGAAAAATCAGGAAAATGAAAAATAAAAATCATTAAATTGAAAAATTGGGGCAACAAAAAATTGAAAAATCGAAAAATTAAAAATTGAGAAACCCAAAATCCAAAAATGAAAAATTGTAATATCGAAAAACTGCAAAATTGAAAAATTCCAAATTGAAAAATTGAAGAAACGAAAATTGAGATGTCAAACGGAAAAAAAACTGTAAATTTAAAACAACTGAAAATTCGAGTATCGAAAATCGAAAACTGGAGAAATCAAAAAATTGAAAAGCAAAACAATTGAAAAATCGAAAAACTGAAGAATGGAAAAATTAAAAATCAAAAAGTAAAAAACTGAAAAGTCTAAAAACTGAAAAGCGGAAAAATTAAAAAATCGAAAATTGAAAAAATTAAAAATCGAAAATTTGAAAAGCCAAGGAATTCAAAAACTGATCGAAAATGGAAAATTCAATGAATCAAATATATGAACAAATGAAAATCCGAGAAATTCCAAAACCAAAAATTTCAAAGTCGAAAAACCAAAGAATTAAAAATCCGAAAACCGATATTTTAAAAATGGAAAAATCTAAGAATCGAATGATAGAAAAATGGAAAAATCGAAAATTCTGATATTGAAATAAAAATAATTAATATTGAAAAATCTAAAATTGGAAAAATGAAAAAAAAACCTAAAAAATGTAATAAAAAATCGAAAAATCAAAAACTAGAAAGACTGAAAATTCGAGTATCGAAAATCGAGAACTCGACAAATCAATAAATCGAAAAGTAAAACAATTGAAAAATCGAAAATTCAAAAAATCAAAAATCGAAAATTTGAAAAATCAAAGAATTGAAAAACTGAAAAATCGAGAAATCGAAAATTCGATGAATCAAATATTCGAACAAAGGAAAATCACTGAAGTCCGAAAACCTAAAATTCGAAAATCCAAAATCGAAAAATCCAAGAAAAAAATTATAGAAAAAGCGAAATATCGAAAGTCGAAAAATCGAAAATACTGAAATCGAAATATCGAATAGTCGAAAAATGAAAAAATCGAAAAATCGGGAAACCGAAATTAAAAAATTCGAAAAATGGAAAAATCAAAAATTCGAAATTTGAAAAAATGAAAATCTGAAAAATCGAAAAGCCAAATCGTTGAAAAATAGAAAAATCGAAAAACCGAGAAACCGAAACATCGAAAAAAGCATCGAGAAATCGAAGTCGAGAAATAAACAATCCGAAAAAATTTGAATTAAAATACTGAAAAATTGAAAAATCCAGAAAAGGAAACATTTCCAAAACTGAAGTGCTGAAAAGGGCGGCGACTTCATGAACGAATAAATTTTAGTTAACGATTTACCATCCTTGATCGCCTTAAAACATTTGCAAAATTTCAGAGCATTTGCTTTTCCATTTTCAAATTTTTTCCAAAAATCTTGTGAAAGCATGGCATATTTTATTTATATCTGGTCATTTACAGTTCATCACTTCAACTTCCACGCAGAATAGACTGTTTAGATGAAATATCAGGTAAACTGTAAACTCTAAGTTTAATGATAAGTTAAGTAATGCGCAAAAATAACCAACTATAAGGTGGTAGGCGCATCATATGTGTTTTGTGGACTATACTGAAGCGACTTTTACATACTATACACACAAATTTGTAGTTTATGAATCCGCGTTGAGTTTTTACCCTAGACATACAGATTATGAGTCATTCTTCAATCAACGTGTGATAAAATTCTTTTATCCCATAATGATGAACATTGATCAAATATCAACTAGCTGCCACCAGATCATTATTTAAATGTACTCACATTTTTTTTTTTGTCATTTTTACTCGTTCTGATCGGAAATAAATTAAACAAATCGAAAATAAATTAAGTACTAACACTAGAACCACAATACATGAAACTCTAAAACACGGCATTAGGAAATAGTTCGATTTAGATTGATTTTAAAATAAAGTCGTAGGAAAAAGAACGTGTCTCGAAACCTCTAAAGCCCAAAAGAGATCATAACGTCTCGGGCATCTATTACGGTCAATCCAATCAATTCTCGAGTTCGCTTGTGGCATGAAAACCAGCGGAGGTGGATGGGTCACGATTGTCAACAGATTTGGGGTTCCTAAGGCTTTTATTTATTTCATGGAAGGGACACCAATGGGAATTTTGATTGACTTCAACAAGATTTACTACTTAGAATTTTATCGGTTGTGAGTTAAGTCTGGTTTCCTTTAGGACACCAAATTAATAAACTTCTGGTACTGTCGATGGACTAGGACTTCAAAAAACGTTTGTTCATAACTCCTTCGTCGCTGGGGTTAGAGCAAGGATTACGTTTTAAAAATGTGGTAATGTTGGGAAACATCTGATTGAAGAGATTGATAGAAAATCTAACATCAGAAACCCAGATGAAGATTTGTGTTTGTTTTTTCCCAGTTGGTTGGTGGTACCGGAGTTGAAAGCATCCTAATAGCAAAAGCTTGGGGAGAAATTTTGCGAAAGAGGATGCTTATCACGGAATGAATTAGGACTTTTCGTGGATCGATATATAGTGAGAATGATGGTTGGGACACGAGAATAGGAATACTACGTCGTCTATAAAAAACGAGCCACTAAACTAAATTAGAACTACTTGAGTTTATTACGTTGTTCTAATTTAGTTTCAAGTGTTTTTCATTGATTGTGTATTTTTATGTCAAGAGGATTTTTATCGTTGTTGAAATCAAAAATTTTCAGTTGCGCAAGTATATATATAACGTTGTTACTTGCATACGTTGCACACTTTTGCTAACGACTCTAGAAACAAGTTTTTGTGTTTCCACCCTGCAACAAAATGTGCAAGTATTTAATTTTCCTAAGATTGTTAATAATTATTGCACTGGCATGCCCACTTGTCATTTCTTCTAAAAAAGTAAGTACTTACTATGATAAAACTTATTAATCAAGTTCCGGAACTGCGTTTAAAAAAAACATGTCAATTTTTTCGCAGCAGTCTACACCTCTTAGTACCACTGACGATTATCCAAAAAGTTGCAAAGAGATTATGCAACTTGGTCAGAACGCTTCTACTTTCTATTACATTCAGCCCAAAAATGCTCCCGAACCTTTTGTAGTTCTGTGTAACATGCACAGTTCAGGAGGTGGTTGGACAACGATTCTCAACAGAGTCGATGGTTCTCAAGATTTTTTTATGGACTGGGACAGTTACAAGTTAGGATTCGGTAACATAGCTGGTGAATTCTGGTTAGGTTTAGAGAAGCTCCACTACATGGCAGGTAAGCTCGATATATGTCAGTGGAGCCATGAAATAAAAAACGATCATGTAGGGTACGAATTGACAGAACTGTTGTTTGAGTTTGTTGACTGGAATGACGTACAAGCGGATGCCTATTATGGTTATTTTGGTATTGGTGGTGAAGAAGAAGGCTATATTTTAAAGCTATTGAGAGGGTTTAACTAAAGATAAGGATCAAGATGTTGCAGTAATTCCAGATGAGAATTGTGGTGTATTCTCAAAAGGGGGATGATGGTACCGTAGTTGTAAAAAGGGGAATCCTACAGGAGTGTATTATAATAGCAGTGTGACGGAAAATTATTACGATGCGATAACTTGGGACAGTTGGCATGGGTTTACTTATTGTCTTAAAGAAGTAAGGATGGTGATAAGACCAAAATATTAATGCACTTCCTTGCTTTTCATCTTGAACTGTTATCCATTTTTTTCTGTATTAATTGAAATTGGACTGAATAAACAATTATTTTTATCACTATTATTAAAGAGTGAAATATTTGTGTTTATTTACAAATTACATCTTGACCATAGATCTTGACAATATGGTGACCTTAGTAACGGACAGGATTTTTTTTTTGGATTCTTTATTAATAAGTATGAAAAATTGATAATAAATTAATAAAAAATGACGAAGAGATGGAACGCGCCTTGTACCATTTACAATTCAAAATAGTGATTTTCTGTAAAAGCCATTGTTTTTAGCTTGAAACACTTTTACAAGTACTCGCTTCGCTTGGTGTAAAAAAACGAACACATCACACTTGTTTAGTAAAAAAAAAATACAAAAGATCTTCCGGTGGTGTTGTATGATTAAAACAAACTTTCAGAAAGAAAATATATTTATTAAACAAGTTATTACGAAACTTCAGTTTATGTCTAGAAGTGTGCGCTAGACGCTCTCTTAACGTATATTCAAAAACAATAAAATAGCGCTGTTACGGCTCGCTGCATCCACTTGGAAAAGTTTCAAACTTGCACGGGAAAAAGCAGTTGCTTTAAACGTAAAGCCGTTTCCTCCGCTCGGCTGGGTATATATTAATAGTTGTAGTTTTTCGAGCTCTTTAACCCTCATTACACGAGAAGCCGGAGTTCGGCACCTGCTAAAATGTGAACGCATAAATCTTGGCTTTTCTTTCGAATAAAAAAACTAAAACAGTAATCTTCCTGAAAAGCCGTAACTGGGTTGACCTTAAAGATAAAGTTAAGAAAAATTCCCAGAGGAGGCATTTGTTTCGGAGGCTACCGGAAAATTACATGCTGAAAATGTTACGAAACAAACTTTCATAGAGCAAACATCATTGGATTTATGGGTTTGGAACGACTGATGCGTTTAGAAATGTGTGGTTTTTATGGAAATGTATGCAAGGTGTACACGAAATTTGCAATGTTGTTAATCTTCATTAAAAAAGCTGCTGCGAAAAAATGACATGAATGGTAAAATAGTAGACACAAATTGACGCATTTTTCGAACAATGTTGGTATCATTAGGACGATTAAATAGTAGTGCAGTATTTAATCAAGTTAACGATGGTTTCCATATTGGAAAAATGCGTCGATATTGTGTGTTGTAGTGTTTATCACGTTCGTCACAAGCGGATTAAATAATCATGAACTGGTTCCTAAACCCAAACGATTTTACCCATTAGGTCAGGAGCGCCTCGTTGAATTTTCCGGAAATTATACTGCGAAAATTACAATATTTTTAATTTTTTTATAGTTTTCTTTTTAGCAGTAGGTCAACCACACGATGATTTTACAAGTAGAGGATGTCAAATTAAGAAAAGATTCATAGCTATATTATTTTTGAAATAGATAAGACGCCGCAACCAAAAATTCCCAGTTATTTGTGTAGTCGCATAACTTCCTTCTTTGCTAAATATTGACATTCTGATAATGAGAATTTAAAAAACTATTATTATCAACAACCTAAAAATAACATCATCGCATTGACGTTCACAGAGATTTATAGAGTTTCTGAATAGCGAAATGCAAACAAGAGTAAATTAAAGATAGACAGACCATCTCAGAAACGAATATCCAGAAGTCAAAAAAAGATCAAGAAATCCGACTTCTTTGAAAAAAAAATTATAAAAACTGTTTGCGATTTTTGTTTTCTAATAACCTCTATGAAGTGGCGCAAATAACATTCTCTCTAACTTTTTATTTAAATTCTTCTATTTTGAGATTTTAAATTTTTCGTTTCGGTTTTTTATTTTCTTGATTTTTTCAATTATTCGATTTTTCACTGCTTCGATTTTGTAATTTTTTGTTTTAGCAATTTTAATTTTTTCCCTATTTCGTTTCTTCAATTTCAGATTTCGATTTAAAATTTCTAGAGTTGTCAATTTTGATTCTTTAGTTTTTCATTTCTTCAAATTTTCGATTTCCAATTTTTCGTTTCGGATTTTTATTTTCTTTATTTTTGCAATTTTCCGATTTTTCAATGTTCCGATTTGAAATTTTTTATTTTTTCAATTATTCATTTCCTCAATTTTTCGATTTACAAAGTTTCAATTTTTTTTGTTTCTTGAATTTTACGATATGCAACTCTTGGAGTTCTCGTTTTTATATTTTTCAGTTTCAATTTTTTGATTTTGCGGGTTTTCGACATGCAATTTCACGAGTTTTCAATTTTTAATTTCTAAATTTTCCATTTCTTCGATTTTTGGATTTGCAATTTTTCATTTCAGTTTTTTTTCTTAATTTTTGAATTTTTCGGTTTTTCAATACATATACAAAATCAAATTTTTGTTTTTTTTTTCAATGTGATATTTTCAATTTCTGGATTTTTCAACTTTTCGTTTCTCTAAATTTTGATTTGCAGTTTTTCTAATTTTCATTTTAAATATGTAATTATAACACATATAAATTTAAAAATGTTTCACTTTTTCAATTTCTCGATTTGAGAATTATTCCATTTTTCACTTATTGGATTTTAGTAATTTTTCGTTTGTACGATTTTTAATTTTTGAAGTTCTCGATATTTAACTTTTCAATTTTTTGATGTTTCGCTGTTGTAGTTTTTTAACTTTACCAATTTGACAATTCCATAATTCTTCGATTCACAAATTTTGGGTTTTCCAATTTTTCGATTTAATTCGTTTTTTCTTATTTATAATTTTTCGATTCATTAATTTTTTCGATGTTTGGGTTTCTCGATTGTTAGGTCTTAAATGTTTCAATTTTTATTTCTTCAGTTGTTCGATTTGCAACTTTTTGATTTTCCACATTTTCGATTTCTCAATTTTTCGTTTTTTCAGTTTTTCGAAAACAAGAGTGGAAAAAATGCAAAATTGAAAAATGAAAAAATATAAAATGTAAAAATGTTTCGATTCATCATTAATTATTATTTTCGATTTTTGGGTTTCTCGATTGATAGTTTTTCAATGTTTCAATTTTTTATTTGATCAGTTGTTCGATTTGCAACTTTCTGATTTTCCACAGTTTCGATTTCGCAATTTTTCATTTCAGTTTTTTTATTTTCTTATTTTTTTGAATTTTTCGGTTTTTCAGTATTTTGATTTCATAATTATTCTTTTTTTTTAATGTGAAATTTTGCAATTTCTGGATTTTTCAACCTTTGGTTTATTCAAATTTTGATTTGCAAATTTTCTAGTTTTCATTTTAAATATGTAATTAATTATACATACATATAGATTTAAAAAAAAATCATTTTTACAATTTTACGATTTTAGAATTATTCAATTTTTCAGTGATTGGATTTTAGTAATTTTTCATTTATTGGATTTTTAATTTTTCGATTTCCCGATAATTAACTTTTGAATTTTTTGATCTTTCAGTGTTGTAGTTTTTTGACTTTACCATTTTGACAATTCTATAATTCTTCGATTTTACAAATTTTGGGTTTTCCAATTGTTCGTTTCGATTCGTTTTTTCTTATTTCAAATTTTCTGATTCATTAATTTTTTTCGATTTATGGGTTTGTCGATTGTTAGTTTTTCAATGTTTCAATTTTTTATTTCTACAGTTGTTCGATTTGCAACTTTTTGATTTTCCACGCTTTCGATTTCTCAATTTTCCGTAATTTCAATTTTTCGATTTTTTAGTTTTTCGATATTTCAACTTTTTGAAAAACAAGAATGGAAAAATTACAAAATTGTAAAAGTGAAAAATCAAAAATCAAAAAACGAAATAGTACAAAATATAAAAATTTGTCGATTCATTAATTTTTTTCGATTTTTGGGGGTCTCGATTGTTAGTTTTTTAATGTTTCAAGTTTTTATTTCTTCGGTTTGCAACTTTTTGATTTTACACGCTTTCGATTTCTGAATTTTTCGGTTTTCCAGTTTAGATTTTTCAATGTTTTTCGATTTTTTAGTTTTTCGATCTTTCAATTTCTTCTTTGAATCATCTATAAATTGGTAATCAAGAACTTGAAAAATTGAAGAGACGAAAAATTCAAAAATTGAACCATTAAAAATTGAGAAACAAAAATCGAACAAGTGCAAAATCGAAAAACGAAATACATAATTATATATTCTAAATATTGAACATCAAAGAAATTAATCGGAAAATCGGGTAACTGAAAATCCAAACATTGCAAAATTGAGAAATTCTAAAAATTGGAAAATCGGGAATTGCAAAATCAAAGATTGAAAATTAAAACAATTAAACAATGAAAAATTAAAAATTCGACAAAAAATTGAAAAAACATGAAAAAAAAAAGGAAATGAGAAGACGATAAATTGTAATATAAAATTGGAAAAATAAAAGTTAAAAAATCGGGAAAAATAAAAACCAAGAAGTTGAAAAATCAAGGAAACGAAAAACTGAAAAATCTGAAAAATTAAGTATTGAGAAAATGAAAAATCGTAAAAAGGAAAGTTGACATACCGAAAAATTGAAGAAATGAAGAATTGAAAAATTTGGAAGTCAAGAAATTGAAAAATTGAGAAAATTAAAGTCAAAAAAACAAAAAATTATGAAACCGAAACATTGAAAAATGGAAAAATTTAAAAATTAAAGTAAATGAAAAACTGAAAAATTGTGTTACCATAAAATCGAAGAAAAGGGAAAAACGAAAAATTCTAGATAAAATCAAAAAATTGGTAGAAGGCCAATAAATCCAGATTTTTCGAAAAATGATAATGATTTTGCAAATTTAATTTTTTTAAGGTAACTCTTATAAGTTAATCAATCTATTAATCAAACAATGCTTTATTTGTGTTAAAAATGTACAAATCCAGTTTTACACAAGTCAAATACAACAAATTAAATCAATAAACTATTAAAATTTCTACATCGAAGTTAATCCGCAAAACGATAAAAACAATTCGTAATAGGAAAAGTTTTCAGTTTTTTTTTTTTTTTTTAATATGTTAATAGGCTTATTAATACAGGGTGTCTTTTTTATTTCATAGAAGCTCTATAACTTGTGTATTGTAGAAGATTTATGTGATGGCAACCTCACGTTTTTCGTATTACTT